ACCTGACTACTCATGTGGCCATGGGAAAGTTACTTAAGTAACCCCTCTGAATCTCAGTTTCTTCTTTGGTAAAATGGTGATAATACCTTGTAGAGCCAGCCTTACAAGGATGTTGTAAAAGCTCAATTTAGTGAGAAATTCTGTGTAAAGTGTTTTGCAAATTTCATGTAAATGTTGTTATTAAAGTCCACCATCATGTTACTGTTCTAAACTTGTCATCTATTTGGTTTTTCTGTCTAGTTTATATTGTTGTATTTTCCCCAGTGGAATGCAAACTCCTTTAGGACAGAAACTAGTTTTTGTCTTTATGCGTTCAGTGCTTGATATTGTAGGAGGCACTTAATAAATGTTGACTTGAATGGGAAGAATTGCATAAGGACCCCTGGTCCCACTGTGTTTGCTACTTGAATATCTACCTGAGCTCAGGAAACTCTGGCTCAGGGAGGTTAAAATAATTTTACCAACAGTTACACACGCTGATAAATAGAAGTAATAGAAGCCAGGATTTTTACCTATGTTGTCAGGTATCAAGTAGTATAGTAAGGGATGAGGTTCCACATTTGTATACGTATGGAAACATTTTTCTGCTTATATAGTATTCTGACTCTTATTTTATATTCTGATTGGTTACTGAATAGCTCAAAGAGCCTTAGTCATGTTGATACTAAGTGCTAGGTGGTTGATGAGGATCTCCTTCTCTTACTAGAGGAGATTAAATCTACTTGGAGGATTTAATCTGAGTTCCTATAGCCATTTGATTAAGACTGAACTGCTGGAATATATCATTTGTTTCAGAAACTCCTTCCATTTGACACTGGATTTATACATTTTAGAAATAAGCTGTTGATTTGTTAGAAAAACAGAATCTTCAAATATTGCATTTAATATTTAGGGAAGAAATAGTCTCCTTGTGGTCACTTTATTGCATCAAAATGCGTTTTGGACAGTAATATGTAGTATAGTTTAGTGCCTTTTAGTAACATGTTTTAGTAACAGGGTGCTTTAAAGAATAGTTTTTGTTTTTTTAAACAAGCAAATATATAAATAACCTCAGGAAGCATTTTTAGAAGTGTATTAGAGTTTGAGATAATGTTACTTTAGGGTCAGTTATAAGCACAGGTAACATTTCTAGGGAGTAAATTCTATTCCAGCCTGTATTCTTAAGTTGAATCTTTATGGGTGATATAAATATGAATTAGTCCTTCCTGACAGATTGCTGTAGAATGAAGCCACAGCTCTTATTTTTGTCACCTCCTCAATACCACATCTCTCTTTTCTGAGTAGATAGATTGGCTACTGCTTCTCTGACCTCTCCTGAGGGTTCAGTTCTACCAAATAATTTGAACTCCAAGTATTAGGAAGAAAGTAGAAATTACAGGAATGTATGTTTACAGTTTTAATTAAGAAACAATTCTGAATGACCTCATGGAGTGAAGCCATAGGCAGCCATTGGAAGACCCCACTGACTGTGAATAAAGGCTTTGTACCTTGGTGGCAACAAAGCTCCTTTTATTGCCAATGATGGTATTTCTACAGATGATGTCTGAGATCTTAACCTTTGCCATTTCACCCCTTCTGGTCCTGTATTAGAGAGAATTGGGAATGTGTACATTTTCTGTTTGGTTGGTTTTCTTTACAAATGGACCTTCCCCACTAACTGGAGAGAATAGCTTTTAAAAAACAACTGAATGACATTTTTCATTGTAGGACATTGTAAGATTTCCTGTGGGATAGATAGGATGGTGGGTGTCATTTCACATCAGTCTTGCCTGAATATAATAAAATATATTGAACTTTTGGGAAAAACATTAGGTCCTTAAAGTCTAAGTTGAAACTAATGTTGGTGTTTTGCAAATAATAGACCCTGAAAATAAGGGGGAATCAGATGACTTTTCAAGTAGATTTGTATTTAAACCATCCTAGACAGATGATAATCTATTTGCTTTTTAAAGAGCCATGAAGATTACTCATCCACCCCCTCACTGACATTTTCTTGAGAATTTAATGGTCTTTGGTCCAGTTTCTCCTTTTTCCTGTTGTCTTCAGAACATCCACATCTTGAAGTTATGTTGAACTTCATGTTGAGTGGGAAGGGAAGGAAAACCCCAAGTTTAGGAAAATCTCAACACAGACTTTAATAGGATTAGAGTGAAACTGTGGCCCCTCCAGTTCCACTTTTGAGGGAGGCTTTAGCTCTCATTTTTAGCTATGGGAAACAGGCTGCTGCACATGCATTGTGAAAGGAGTATGGCAACTTAAGCTGCATCTTTTGCAGAAATATGTAACTTCCCAGGAAGGACTACAGCTTATACCTTTTTGTTGTTGTTTTAATCATCCTTTCACAACTAAATGGAAAGGATTTAGATAAGAAATCCTCAGAGTTTTGTGCTCATAATCTTTATTCATCTGAATTTAGAGCTCTTTGGAGGCCATTATTGGTTTAGGAACTATCCATATATAAAATACAGCAAGTTGGTCAAATGAAGAAGCTTAAATTTCTCTGCTGCTGTTTAGTCTTGTCACAGTATTACTCACATTGAACTGAGTGATAGAAGCCAATTAGACTGATTTTTTAATTTGAGAAATAAATTTTTAAATTTCTACCCCCAAACAAGTGTTTTGCCTCCTCTTAACAAGTTGATTATCTCCTCTTAAGGCTATGTTTAGTTAAAAGTGGAAGCAAAAAGTTCCCGACATTGACTCCATGATACCATAGTACAAAATGCTAAGTTAGCTTCTATAGCCATTAGCGCTCTTAGGCATAGCATTATCATAATATGTTTCTTTCTCCCTCTCTCCGCTCCTCTATTGTCTTCCCATTCCCCTCTCCTTTCCTCCCTCTTCACCCCATTCGAACTTGGTATTATAATCAGACTTCTACTGACTACACTCAATATATTTAGCATTCTATAGACACGGTTCCAGTAGACAGGCAGTCTAATTTAGCACATGTAGGAATGAGGAACCTAAGAAAATGGAACCTCCCAGAGAGTGTTCAGTAGTAGCATTTTATGACTTTTTTCTTGAGCATCATATAATCAGGAAATGCCTTACCAAGAGGAAAAAAATATGAAAGGTGGTGAAGGAAATGACTGAGCAGAAAAACTGTTTTCAGCTCTGATCACAAGGAAAGTGCCAGATGAAGGATAATAGGTACCTTTTAAATCTGTGGCTAGAGAGCCAGTGGCAAGTCTGGAGGAGAGAAAAAGTTAAAAATTAAGTTGGGGGGCTTGAAATAGATACATAAACATTCTGCTGCTCCCACCCTGTCACTTTGTCTTGATACTCTTAAAGGGAGGAAATTGTCATTTGTCTTTATTGAAAACAGTTGGTCACAACCCACAACTATTACCTTAAGATGAATTTAAAAGTTCAAAGTCTTGGTAGCCAGGCTGTGAAATTATTTTTCCAATTGTTGATGACTTGAACTTCCTATAAACACAGATGATGTTAAAAACAAAAACAACAACAACAAGGCTGACCACCTGAGGCAGCAATGTGCATTCTTAATTTTCTATTGAAAAAAATCACAGGTAGTCTCATTACTCAGGGTGGGATTTTAGTCAGTGTTTTGTGTGTGTGCATGTGTTGGGTGTGCATGTTGTTTAGGTGCTTGGTCTTATCCTCACCCCCACTGTATAGAGATGATGGGTCCATCCTTCTGTGTTCACTATAATAGCTTACAGATTCACTGAGAGAGCCTGTGTAGTAATGCTTGCTTTTATTTTTTTCTCTTCCACTCTTGTTTTATTTTTTCCTTTTTTTTCTTTGTGATGTGACATTTTCAGCTGATGTATTGAAAGCAAATCCTTCTAATTTGGGAGCCCAGATCACAAGAGTGAGTTTTTCTACTAGTGTCTTTAGCTGTATATCTTTTTTGTGTGTCTTTTCCACTCTTTCCCCCTTCCTTTCAACTCAGTAACAATTCAATCACATTTCATCAATATTAGGTAAGAGAATTCCTCTGTCTGTCAAACTTCATCTTTTTCACAAAGCAATGTCCACTTTATATTGGGTCAAACGCCCTTTTCCAATGTTGTTGTAAGATTGATATGTTTGTTAATTTTTGGTTTTTCCTATTATCTAGCATATCGAAAATATCTGGGTTCTGTCCCCTTTGAATATTGACGATGATGTGTCATGGCACCATTTAAAAATAGTTTTGGAAAATTACATGATAATCTCCTGGAAGTAAGCTTCCCCCATTCTAGCAAGTCCCTGTATTCAAAAATAATGTGACCATTGACAAACTTATCTCTGTCCCCCACACACCTCCCAGCCCCCTGGAGCTTCCTCTCAGGGCCTTCTAAAAATGAAATACTACACAAATTGCTGTCTGTTTTCAGCAGACTGACTGAGAGAAAGTGGTCAGGTTGGTTAGCTGTGTTCATGCTAGTACTGGGAAGACCTCTTCTGAGACTCCACTAATCAAATAAGCAGGAAAAGTCTGTTCAAACTAGAAAGATGGGCAGCACTTTCTTATAAGAAAATGAATTGTACTTTGTAGTCATGAGCTCTGTCTCAGAAACTTGTTCCCCATGTAATCTGTACATTGCTTTTCAAGATCTTGTACCTGGGTAATTTTCTGCACTAGCTAATCCCTTTCTGTTCTCTTTGGCCTATGTTATTAAGACTTCTGTTATGCTCTGTTTGTCAAATACTTTTATACTCTAAAAGAGCAGACAATTAAACAGTCCCTTTACTTTCAATGTTCTGAGATTTGCTTGTTGCTTTTGAAATCAACATTTTATTGTGCAATATTGTAAATAACTGCCCTGATTATAAATGCAGATACATCAATGGCATTGCCAAAATTGATCAACCATTGTTTACAATGACCTTTGGAAAGTGTTGTAATGTGTTCTTGGGGACCAAGAGACTCTCAGCCTTAGCTCAATAACCATTGGTTGGGGGTGGAGTTTCTGGAATCCCATCTTCTCATTTCCCAAGCTCTTCTAATCCTCTCTACCAACTCTTTTCCTTGCTTTCTGTCACCACAGAGGTTGAAAGATCTCAAGCAGAGAGAGTTTGCTCGTAATGTCTCCTCAAGATCAAGGAAAGATGAGAAGAAGCAGGAGAAAGCTCTTCGACGGCTGCATGAATTGGCAGAGCAGAGAAAGCAAGCTGAATGGTGAGCCTCTCTCCCAGAGGGCCTGGGATTAGTTGTAAACTCTAGCAGTTTGAATGACTAAACATTTTCTTGTCCTTATCCTTTTCATTTGTTAAAAACAAAAGGGGGTAGTGGTGGTGTTAGACTGAGGATGGGAATAGGGGGTTGACTAGCTTTGAGCCTGTTCTTTCCCTCTACCCCCATAATCCTCATAGTGAGGCAGAAATTACTTTTGTCTTCATTTTATTGATGTAGAAACTGAGGGACAGAATGAAGCATTTCTCTAACATACACTCTGTACTAAATGCTAGGTATGGGATTATTAAAGAGGGAGAGGTTGCTAAAGAAATAGAAAATGCAGTATCGATTCCTGAAATGGTCTCTCTCTCCTGAGTTAAAGTCCAATATTGTGTCTACTTTGTAAATTTATTACCTCCTTGAATATTTCTGACATATACATCTTAGATCCGGAAAGGCCTTAGGAGGAATTTTGGAAAGAATCTGTTTTATGAGATCTTGGAACAATATTGGGTTAAATTGCCTTTAAACCATATCAAACCCTACTTAGTGTTCTGGTGACTCCTTATGGAGCCACAGACATTTATTCCTCCAAGGAATATTGCTAGGGTTCTTAAACCCAAAATGCATTTCAGTCAGCTGATTCCAACTTTGGGGTTGTGTTTTTTGTTTTTGTTGTTTTTGCTTAAAAGCCTTATGCCAAGCTCCACCTTGTAGAGCTTGATTGTTTTTCAGTTTTTCCTTTTTCCTAATGCAGTTCAGAGCTTTCAGGTTTCCTCAAAAGCTTCAGTCCTTTCTTGGAACAGTTTTAGCACTTGCAAATAGAACCTTAGGGCAAGCTTTGGAGCTAATGGAGATGCTGGAGTTACCAGAGTTTTTGAGACTCTTAAATAGCATAGGGATTTAAGTAATGTGGAAAGGACAGAGCAAAACATATATATAAGCTTCCTTTTCATTCAAGTTTTGTTCTTTAATAATTTCTGGTGAATGGCTCTGTACTCTACAGGCTTTGTGGTACAAAAACTACAAGGAAGATAATGATTACATGACCTTTGGCCAGTGGGATTCTCAGTGGTCAGGGTCCCATACTGAAATTATGCTTTTCAGCATTATTGATTGAGTACCTAGCAAATCTTAGAGGAGACCATCTGAATAGATTACTTGTGGTATCCAAGAATTAAACAACAAACTCTTGGCCTTTGACCTCGGAAGACTAACATCCTCAGACAGTGACACAGATAAAACTCTATAGACCTATTTTTTTTAAAGTTTGAAGGAGCAGGAAGAAATGAGATGTTTTTCTAAGATTCCTAATACAGTATCCCTACGCACCACTTTGCTGAATGAAATGAGGACTAGTGAGCACCCTTTGATAAAATTTGGAAAACCATTGACAGCCTACCACAGGATAGGATGATATTGCATGAGAAAAGATCAGGAGCAGAAGATGATCAGACTAGATCAAAAAGCATTGAAAGAAAGTATAACCTGTACTTTTTGCACTGAGGGTAGGGGTGGAGACAAGGTTAGTGGAATGAGATTTTCCCAGCCTCTTTTGAGGAAGTTCTTACACTGTAACAGTGAACCAAATAAGATATCTTATATTACCCACATACTGCTTTTTGTGCTAAGAGATGAGCAAAGGTCAGTGAAGGGAAAGGTATGAAAGCCAGAGTAGAAGATAACTAAGTAGTTTGTGAAACTTGTGAAGTGTGCCCCTAGTAACTCATCTTTCCTTTTTCCAAATCACTGGGTAGTGCTCTTGGAAGTGGCCCTATGTTCAGACCAACCACAGTTGCTGTAGATGAAGAAGGAGAAGATGACAAGGATGAGTCAACTGCCAGTAGTGGCATGGGAGCGTCTGCTTCGTCTGGCCTGAGCACCGAATTCACCACAGACAAAGGAGGCCCATTCACTTCAGTACAACCTAGTGGCACTGCTAGTCTGGGACAAGCGCCTGTTTTGGCACCCCAGGCTATCAGCTTTGGCATCAAGAATAATTTGGGAACTCCCTTGCAAAAGTTAGGGGTCTCGTTTTCTTTTGCCAAGAAAACCCCTGTCAAACTCGAATCAATAGCATCTGTCTTCAAGGACCATGCTGAGGAAGGTAGCTCTGAAGACAGCACAAAAGCTGATGAGAAGGGCTCTGACCCAGGAACATTACAAAAAGTGGGAGACTCTGATGGCAGTAGTAATCCTGAAGGCAAAAAGGAAGATGAAGATGCACATGAAAAAGATGGTGGGTCACTTGCCTCAACACTATCCAAGCTTAAAAAAATGAGACGAGAAGATGGCGCTGGAGCCACAGAGCCAGAATATTACCACTACATCCCCCCAGCTCATTGCAAAGTGAAGCCCAACTTTCCCTTCCTTCTCTTCATGCGAGCCAGTGAACAAATGGAAGCAGATCATAGCACACACCCAAAGAGTACCCCTGAAAGCAAAAAAAATAGTTCTCCCAAGCTTAAGAGCTGCAGCAAGCCAGCATTGAGCCAAGTTGCAGAAAAGGTGGTGATTGAAAACCCCATGCAACAGAAGGAGACAAATGTGACTGAATCTGCAGAACTTAGAGGCAAGGCTGAAGCAAAGGAGGGCCAAATAGATGTAGGTGAACAGAGTGGAGACAGTCAGCAGCTCACAGAAACTCAAATCCTTGAATCTAGCCCTTTTAAAGAAGCTACCCAGACTACCCCAGCAAGGAAAGAGGGCCCAGAGGGACCTAAACATCCTACTGGCCCTTTCTTCCCAGTTTTGAGCAAAGATGAAAGCACTGCCCTCCAGTGGCCATCAGAACTGTTAATTTTTACCAAGACAACACCTTCCATTTCATACAGCTGTAACCCTCTGTACTTTGATTTTAAATTGTCAAGGAATAAAGATACCAGAGCAAAAGGGATAGAAAAACCAAAGGATGCAGGAGGCCCCTTGAAGGAACATTTCCAGAGTTCTGATCCTGGAGATGTAAATAAGAACAAAGAAGGGGGGAATACAGGTCATAGTTCAGGAGAGAAAACAGATGCTGTGCCCTCAGGGTCAGCGTGTAGCAGCCTTCGTAGGCAGGAACCTGGGGAGAGCCGTGGGGAAGATGTGGAGGACAAAGGCAAGAACCTCCCCAGCAGGAAAGAGCGAGCTGCCAAGTCTCACCGACAGAAGAAGAAGAAGAAGCACAAAAAGTCCAGCAAACATAAGCGAAAACACAAAGATGATACAGAAGACAAGGGCTCTAAAACCGAGTCTGGGGAGAAGTCCAAGAAGCGCAAGAAGCGAAAAAGGAAGAAAAATAAATCATCAGCCCCTGCAGACTCAGAGCGGGGACCTAAACCTGAGCCCCCAGGGAGTGGCAGCCCTGCGCCCCCCAGGAGGCGGCGGCGGACGCAGGAAGATTCCCAGAGGAGAGTACTTCCAGCTGATGAGGGGAATAGTGGCAAGAAGGAGGAGGGGGGTGGTGGCAGCAGCAGTGCCCAGGACCATGGTGGCAAAAAACACCGAGCTGACCCTCCTCCATCTGCCTGCCAGCGAAGAGCAGGCACTAAACGAAGAAGCAGCCAGCCCAGCAGTGGAGATGAAGAGAGTGATGCAGCTTCATCACGCAGGCAGCACCAGAAATCACCATCTCAGGACAGTGAGGACGATGATGAAGACTCTGGCAGTGAACACTCCCGGAGTTGTTCCCGGTCTGGCCGGCGCCATTCTTCTCGCCGCTCATCCCGGCGGTCCTATTCGAGCAGCTCAGATGCTTCTACAGACCAGAGCTGCTACAGCCGGCAGCGTAGTTACTCAGATGACAGCTATAGTGACTACAGTGACCGGTCACGAAGGCATTCAAAGCGTTCCCATGACTCAGAGGACGACTCGGATTATGCCAGTTCAAAACATAGGTCCAAGCGGCACAAATACTCATCCTCAGAAGATGACTACAGCCTCAGCTGTAGCCAGTCACGGAGCCGGTCACGGAGCCATACCAGAGAGCGATCGAGGTCCAGGAGCAGGGGTCGGAGTCGGAGCCGAAGCAGCAGCTGCAGTCGCAGCCGGAGCAAACGAAGAAGCCGGAGTACTACAGCCCACAGCTGGCAGAGGAGTCGGAGCTATAGCCGGGACCGTAGCCGCAGCACCCGAAGCCCCTCCCAGAGATCAGATTCCAGAAAGGGATCAAGAGGTCATGAGAGCCCTGAGGAGAGACGATCGGGTCGCAGGGATTTCATCCGTTCTAAGATCTATCGCTCCCAGTCCCCACACTACTACCGGTCAGGTCGAGCTGAAGGGCCTGGAAAGAAAGAGGGGAGAGGGGATGACAGTAAAGGGTCTGAGCCACCTTCCCAGAATAGCACTGGCCCAGCAAGGGTGTCTGATGGTGACTGCAGCCCAGAGGATAAGAATTCAGTCACTGCTAAGCTTTTATTAGAGAAGATTCAATCAAGGAAGGTTGAGAGAAAACCAAGTCTAAGTGAAGAGGTACTAGTTATCCCAAACAAGGTAGGGCTCAAATTGAAGGATCCCCCACAGGGTTACTTTGGTCCTAAGCTCCCACCCTCCCTTGGCAATAAGTCAGTTCTCCCATTGATAGGGAAGCTCCCAGCCACTCGCAAACCAAACACCAAAAAATGCGAAGAGTCTGGCTTGGAGCGGGGTGATGAACAAGAACAATCGGAGACAGAGGAGGGGCCCCTGGGCATCATTGAGGCCCCATTTGGACACCAGTGCCCTTTGGAAGACACAGCAAGGCCCATATCAGACCCACTTCCTGAAGAGCCAAAGCCTGAAGAAGGCGCCACCGAACACTCCACAGCTCCTTTGACCACCCCAGCACTCCCTAACTGCTATCCTGGGGATCCCGCTATACCCCACAGCTACCTCCCTGAGCCCAATGATGGGGATGCCCTGGAGCGCCTGGACGGGGCCAGTCAGTCCATGCCCAGTGAATCCAGTGCCCTCACTTTAGTCCCAGACATGGAGCACTTCCCCAGCTATGCACCTCCAAGCAGAGAACCCAGCGTTGAGTCCCCCGATGGAGCTGATGATGCTTCCCTGGCCCCTCTGGAGAGTCAGCCCATCACTTTCACCCCAGAAGAGATGGAGAAATATAGCAAGCTCCAGCAGGCAGCCCAACAGCATATCCAGCAGCAGCTCCTGGCCAAGCAAGTGAAGGCTTTCCCAGCCACAGCAGCACTGGCCCCTGCAACACCTGCTCTCCAGCCCATCCACATTCAGCAGCCTGCCACGGCCTCAGCCACTTCCATCACCACAGTGCAGCATGCCATCTTGCAACACCATGCTGCTGCCGCCGCTGCCGCCATCGGCATCCACCCTCATCCCCATCCCCAACCTCTTGCCCAGGTGCACCACATTCCCCAGCCTCACCTCACCCCCATCTCCTTGTCTCACCTCACTCACTCAATTATCCCTGGCCACCCTGCCACCTTTCTTGCCAGCCATCCCATCCACATCATTCCTGCTTCTGCCATCCACCCAGGGCCTTTTACCTTTCACCCAGTCCCCCATGCAGCTCTCTATCCCACACTTCTAGCTCCACGACCTGCTGCAGCAGCTGCCACTGCTCTCCACCTCCACCCACTACTGCACCCCATTTTCTCAGGTCAGGACCTGCAGCATCCACCTAGCCATGGTACATGAGTGGATGCAGAGGGGGAGGGACAAATGGGGAAAGGAAGAGTGATGACACCTGAACCTCTCGCAGAAAAGGGGGCTGAGCCATTGGAACCAGTAAGTGGGAGTTGGGGTGGGGAGTTTTATTTTGACAGCCAAAGAAATGAGTTTTGGCTTACAGGACTGGTTTGGGATATGAGGTTTGCTTTGGGCTTAATATCAGGGATTGTTTCTTTCCTTCTCATTTCCCGTCTCCCCACCCCCTACCACTTTGTGTTTTCAACACAGAGAACATCTCCAAGTGTTGTCCCACTTCCTTTGCAGTAGCATCTCTCCACTGAAAACCTTGTTAATCCCTCTCTGTCTCTCCCCCCGCCCCCTCCTCATTTCCTTCCTGGTCTTTGCCCCTCTTCCCTCTCTTGTAAATTTGCAACTAGCATTTCCTCCTCTCTAGCCAGTGAGTTGTCACTAGAGCACTTGAAAATAGGCCCAGCTGCTCCATTCCCTGTCAGCAGTGCCAGGGGCAAGCTGAATTTTCCCTAGTGGGCAGTGGTGACATTTGATTGAAAAGCGTCGTAAACTTGGGTTGGGTTCCTTGGCAATTGATCCCATGGTGACCTGGCATTGTCCCAGTTGTGAGGTGGGAAAGAGGTATCTGACCTGGACACCAAACTGTAGTTAGATCCGCTCCTCACCTAAACAGAGAAAATCATCTTCACTGCCCTTCACCCTAAAAGAATCATCTACACAGCCCAGAAAAGAAGATTCTGTCATGAATTGGGTGTTGTGGAACATGGAGTCCCCTGTTATCCTTCCCCAGGGAGGAGCTTGAGTGTCTAAAGGGTATTCTTTCTTCTGTCATGTTGATGTTTCCTTCTTAATTTATAGAAGTTTTTTTTTAATGTAAAGAATTGCACTGAACTCTGTAAACGTAAATGCTGCTTTTTGTAGCTTATATTGAAAAAAGAAAAGAAAAAAGGTTCCATATTTGTAGTATACTGCAATAATATTTTTTACGGCCAACTCTAAGTGATCCTTGTTCTGGTGGCTTTGTGTAAATATGTTTGCTGTAGTTTAATTAAGACACTTTTAAAGGTTGCAAAATGAGAACAAAATAAAATAAAAACAAATTTGTTTTCTGCTAGATGCAAAACGACTAAGCATGTATATTTTATCAAGCTCATGTATTTTTGAAGTTATATGTACTATAAAATGTAAAAAAAAAAAGGCAAAAGGGGAAAATCATTTAACGTTTTTTGTTTGTTTTTGTTTTTTGGGTTTTTTTGCTGAGAAGAAATGTTGAGTAATTACAGTAAAATATGCACTCAACACTGGGACTCCTAAGAGCTAATGGGTGGCAGCCAGTGTGAGTTATCAGAGGGACAGTCATTTACAGGGATGCTGCATGATATGCTTAGCTGTCACGTTCCAAAGGGGCAGGCCCCTAAGGCAGCAGGCATAGGGAATTTGAAGAGCTAGGAATTTCACTATCTATGTGAGATAAAGTCCAGAGTAAATTATTTCATTCAGCTTCTGCCACTCATTATTGACATGACTGCAATTCTCTTCCCAAAAGCCTTCCTGGTACTTCAGTCCCTCTGACTTTTATTTTTCAAACTGTGCCTTTTGGGTTCTAAACTGATGCAGAAAAATTAGAAGAGGAAGATCGGGAGGGGCCAGTTTTTCTTTCCTTTTTGAGAGGTGAGCATATTTCTGTATTCTTTCTTTCACCTGATTAACTAAAGGAGTTACTAGTTCTGCTCACATAAAGTAAGATCCTTTTCCTTTTAAAAACACTGACCATAAACATTTTTACCTCAGCACCCCTTCCCCACCTCTCACCTAGGCTTTTGCCTTAACATAATACACTGGCCTGAGCTGGTGCTGAGGCTTTAGCTCATCTCACACTTTACTTTTAATAGTGTTGGTGGCTCTTTCCCAACCCAATCAACCTTCATGACTAGTATTGGTTATATGAACCAGGCAGGATGGCTACTTGAAAGGGTAAGAAAATTAGTGGTCTGGGCTAAGAGTGCCTCCTGCTTTTTTTCCATCCCGTTCACCACTACTCTTCTCCCATTCCCCTCTCCTCCACCTCCCAAAAAAGACAAAAGCATTTTGAGTGCTAGGAACAAGTTCTAAGCAAACCCAGAGCTTTAAGACCTTACCGTGATTTGTGCTCCTCATTAAAATAACAAACATTGCTTTTAAAATTGATAGCACTGGAAAAATGAAAATCATCTGTTTTAAGTGAAGGGACTTATTTTTTCTTTATTTTAAGTTGATGTAAATATTTAAATGATATGAATGATACAGTATTAACATTTTGATGCTGCTCACCATTAGCTTGTAGATGGAGTCCATGGATTCTAGCAGCCTTGCTGCTTTTGTGGGGGCAGTTTTTCTTAAACTCCCAGAATAGTGATTTAAAAAAAGAAAAAAACTATTCTACTTACAAGCATAACAGACTGTATTTAACTTTATCACATAAGATAGATATATTATATATATATACATATATATATGCTGTAAAATGAGGGGAGAGAAAACTTTCTAATAAACCAGTGATTTGTGGAAACAGCATATTCTGTCATGATTCAGCCCTTTTCACTTAGGATGGGGATAAATGGGTCCACCTTTGTGTCCACCTTAAGGCTGCCAAGGTACAGAGTCGAGTCAAAACAGTTTGGATGGATTTGGATCATATACCTGTTGAACCTGCTCAGAAAACTTGGTAGAGAAGTAGAAGGATGAAGACAACCCAGGCACCTTTTCCTTGGTGGTCATGGGTGCAGAGCACTCTACCTCTTTTTGTGGGTGATTCAAAAGTGACTTCCCATTGACTTAAAAGTTTGGTCATAGAATAATGGAGTTTTAAGGGTACTACTTACCCTTCACGATGAGCTTTACATTCCAGGCATGGATTTTTCTTTTGAAATTTTTCTTCTGAAGCATTCCAGAGATTCAGACCTAGTGATGAGCAGAAATACATACGTGAGAACATGCCCTAATTGGTGCGAAGCAGATAAAAGACCAGTGATAAATCCGATTTTCATGTTACCTCTTGTTTAATGGCTTTGTCTTCTGGTTTTTCCACCCGAGAGGCCAATTTCCCTCTTTTTAGGTGGGATTGTTTGGCAAGAGAACAAGGAATATTTATTTTGCTTTTTCTTTGCACACATCTGTTCTACTTTTAACCAGAAGGGAACCTCTCAATTGCATAGTTGAGAAGGCTGTCTTGGAGTTTGGGATCAGTGTGCCTAGTTGATAAGCCTTGAATAGCAGAGATTTGCTATATGTGTGTTGTGGTCAGGGCATGGGGAAGAGTGAAGGATGATAGAGGAAAAGATAGAGCATGAACTGCTGAGGTACCACTAGCTTTATTTCTGCTAAGAAACAAGTTTGATTGGTTAACAAATCTTTATTACCCGCTGTATTAAAAATAGCATACTGAGTGTGGAAATAAATTATACCAGTCTTATTCTTGGGAGATCACAATCCCAAAGGTAAAACACCTAGAATTCCATTCCTTTGTCAGTGGTACCATCATTGTTCGAGTCACAGACTCAAAACTTTGGATTTGTCTTTGACTTTCACAACCTCCTGTCACCAAGTGCCCTCAATTTTTCCTTCCAGATGTTTCATAGTATCCGTTTATTTCTATTTCCCCTTCAATCACTTGAACCCATTCGTGCCTGGATTACTGCAATAGCATTATAAGCTGGCCTTACTAACTCCCATTATTGTTTGCTCCCTCCAAACCACTGATAGAACTGTCAGATTAATCTTCCATTTTAATCAGATTACCTTCAAGAAGTGTGTCTCCCCACTGCCCTCAAGATGAAGTTCAGACTTCCATATCTGTTTTTTCAATATCTTTCATAATCTGGCCCCTCTTATCTAAGTCTCATTACATTTCAGTGGGATCCTTCTTTTTCTTTCAGTTGACTCTTCACTAACAAATGTGCTGTGTTCATTTCCTCCGTTCCCTTACTCTTCCTCTTCACCACCACATGGAATGTTCTTCCTCATTCACACTACCTAGCCAAATATTAGGGTTGGTAGGAATATGGCCTGGCCCTTGCAGCACCCATGAAAACCAATCCCACTCTCTCTCCTTGAAACATCTCCATTAATGGAGGATTCACTCTCAAGAGGACCTGTTCCATTGTTGAATAGTTCTAATCATTAGGAGGTTCTTCCTTAAAGTGAGCCTAAAAAATCATAATGACTTAAACCCCATTGACCATAGTTCTCCCATTTGGAGAATGTCTTCTACATCCAATTCCAGGAACATTGAGCAGGAAAAGCCACTGGCAGGGACGCTTGTCTTCCCTTCCCATTCTTTATCTAGGCTACTTAACTCTTCACATTCATTGAAAAAGAGACTACCAATCAATTCCAACCAATGAAGGGACAGCCACCAACCCTTAGGCTTTGCTCTGCTGCTGCATCCTGAGGTCCTCCAGGCTTTACCATGTGCTCTGCATCTATGCCTCACAGACCCTTTTGACACTGCAGTTTAATCTAATGGGCCCTGGTCCTTGACATTAGCTTGTGCGCCATCTTAGGGCTTTTAGGCCTTTCCATCCTCCCTGCAGCTAAACTTTGTTTTATGTATTGTCTCCTCCAATTAGAATGTGTGCTCACTGAGAGCAGGGAGTATTTCCTGTTTTTCCCAGCACTTAGCCCATAGTGAGTGCTTAATCATTCATACATACAATGAAAAAGTACTGATTTTAAGTCCCAGTGCTGCTACTTAGTAGCTGTTTGTGTGTTTCTCCAGGCCTCAGGTTCCATCTGCAAAATGACGGTTATACCTACCTCACAGGGTTGTTTGAGAATCAAATAAAACAATATATGCAAAATGCTTTGTAAACTATTGTAATAGAAATAAGCTGTTAATTATGTACACGGCCCTGCTAATACAAAGATGAAATAAGACAAACTCTTGCCCCTGGAAGCTTTTATACTTTATAGGAGGATAAAATGTGCAAGTAATTGATGAGGCAAAATATGTTGAGCAAAAAGAGATATACAGCCTTACCATGAGATTTTAGGATAGAGATCACTTTCATCTAAGGACTTTGAAGAAGGTTTTGTGTTTTATTTGGGGTCTGGTCGTTGTTAAGTCATGTCTGAGTCTTCATGACTCCATTTGGGGTTTTCTTGACAAAGATACTGGAGTGGTAAAGTCATTTTTGAACTCAGTAAGAGGAGTTTTCCAGACTCTAGGCATCATACTCTATCCGCTGTGCCACTGAGGTGCACAAGGGAGATGGTTAAGGAAGAAGAAATGCTGACTAGCTTCCAAATGATCCATTATGGTAAAGCAGCATTGGCTTATCACACCTGCAGCTGCTAAGCCATACCTTCTTCTGCGTGCTGTGAGATGGACTTTCCAGGGATTCATAAGACAAGCAGCAGCACCTCCCAAGAACCTCAGGGAGAACCTTTATCCATCTAATTACTTGTTTTCTCATCTACTGATAATCTACCTGTACTCGTTCCTCAATGGTTAGCATATTCTCACCCCCTTTTACACTCCCTATTCCAGTATTACTGAAACTCTGCTGCTGCTGAAAAAAGCCTTTCCCAAACCTCAGCTTCTCTTTCATCATTCCTGTTCAGTTCACTCCTACCCCAGCAGTGCTCAAGTCAAAATCTGCCTGCCCTTTTCACTTTGCCTCTGGAATGCCTGCTCCATAAATGAAACTTTATCTTCTTCCCATGCTTGGGCCTTCACTGAGACTTGGCTCCCTCCTGATGACAATGTTTCCCAGAGTACTCTCTGTCTTCTCCCCACCCCTGCAGGGTCATCATGAGATAGTCAAAATACTCCTTGATTCCCTCTGCCACTTTGACCCAACAGCCTTTTCTCCTAGATCCAAATTTACAATACAGATCTTAGATTATCTGCTGACCATCCTAATTCTCCAATACACTCTCTTTACTCAATGAATGTAGTGTTGGCTCACAGTCTTCAACTCCTTTCATGTGAGAGGATGTGTGTGTGTATAGAGATGTTCCCTCAAATATCCTGTTTCCTATTCTGCAGTCTGTTTTGTTTCCACGACCTATTTCTCCATTCCACCTTAGCAAGAGTTAGATGGTCATTGCTTTGATCTTGCCATCACCCACAAATGTACCCATTTCATGATTATGAACCCCTAATTCCCTTGTCTGACATCTATCTTTCTGTCTCTTATGACCTCAACCCTGTTCTATTCTCATTTTCCCAGGCCATCACTCCCAACAGTAGGTACACTATTCTCCCTTACTAATCTCAATCCTTTGGTGAGCCAGTTCAACTCTATAGTCTATCCCTAACATTGGATTACAAGCATCATCTGCTACTTTTACTTATATGCTCTTGAATAGAGCTAATAGGGGAAGTCACAAAACTGCTAGTTTGATTTTCTGCAAAATTGTTAATGGCCTTTATTGCATCAAAGCACTCCTCTCCCTAAGTGATGCTGTATTCCACTCACCATGGTGGCTGTTCCCAAACATCTCTTCCTGCCTGTTACAGCACTCCTTCCACCAACCATCTCAGCTCAGGACCTTGCCTCATACTTGACCAAAATGATTGAGGCCTTTGCTGAGAAATTTCTTCTCTCCACTTCTCATCTCCCATAATCTTCCTCCATTTTCTATAGTATAATGGAAAGGAAGCCCTTCGGCTTGACAAGACCAATAAATAACCTTGATCCTATCCTTTTCCTTCTCCAGCAGATTGACCCCCACTATCATCTTCAAACTCTTTGCCATCTACTAGCTTCTCCCTTGCTGTCTACAAACAAACCCAGGAGTTTCATTTGATCCTACCATCCCCCATATTTCTTAATTAACTAAGGTCAGATTTGAACTCATGTCTTCCTGACTCCAGGCCTAGAACTCTATCTACTGCACTACCCACTGTTTAAATCATTTTTTAAAATTATTTGTTTTAATTGTCCAGGATCTGCCTTTTCACCCTACCAGCCCAATCCTCCACGCCCAACTGAGAACACATAAAAAATAAAATCCATTACTAACATATATAGTCAACCAAAACAAATTTTCACATTTGCTGTGTTAAGGAAAAAAAAATTGTCTCATTCTGAATTGAGTCTTTCACATGTCTGTCCGGAGGTGGGGAGCATGTTTCATCATTAGTCAATGTTCCATTGTTAGCCCTCTGGAATTCCGGTTGGCTGTTAACACTGGTAAGAGCACATTATAATAGTATTCCATAACATTTACGTACCATGATTTGTTCGTCCATTCCCTGGGTGGTATAGATGTCCCTGTCTTAAAATTTCTGACTTTCAAGACCCAGCACCTTGTGCAGAAGAGCTTTCCTGGCCTTCTCAGCTGTATCTTTTTATTTATGTATTGTCTTTCCCATTTGAATGTAAGCTTCTTAAGGATGGCTGAATTTGCCTTTATATTCCCAGCACTTAGCATACATTACATAGTACATAGTAAGCACCTTATAAATGTTTGTTGATTGATATGGCTCCTAAGTTTGGGCTACATGGCTACCCTTTGGATGTTTGTAGACAATGTCCTGGTCCCCTTTTCTGGACATGCTGTAC